AACTGCTTTAATTTTTTTATGTTTTACAAAGTTTAAATCTGTATAACAATTCCAAAAATTTCAACTGTAACTTATCCTCTGTCATTAATACCACTCTCATCGTTGTTGCTGTTGACGGTGGTGGTGATGCTGGTGGTGCTACTGCTGCTGTAACTGCTGCTACTGCTGTTGCAAAATAAAGCAACATAAAATTAGGTCAGTCTATATAGGCTGATAAATACCATTGATTTAGTACCGTATTTATAAGTGGTATTTACTTCTTCTTGCTTCTTATTTCGCCAAGTTTTTCTAATAATTTATAATAGAAACAATTTTAACTTTACAAAAAAATTCTTGTTTTTTTTTTTTTTTCTGTTAATGGTCAGTCATCTGAAGGGTTTTGTAATACTGTATGTAAAAACACCGGCAATAAATACATTGAAATCAAAGAAGACAGAAAAGTGTTGTTATTGTTGCTGTTCATTGGCCTCTTTTAAGAAGCCAAATCAAATTTTCTTTTAGTAAAAAAAATTTTCCAAAAATATTTGGCAAATAAGGCTAAAATTTATTGAAATAATTTGATAAATTTTCTCTGAAAAAAGAAGTTTTTTTTACTCATTAATTGGTGTTTTTTAAATGTAAATAGCAAAAAAAAAAGGTTTTTTTTGTTCTTTTACTGAAAATAGTGTAGTTGTTAAGGATCAATATGAGCTGCAAAAAGAGAGGGTAAAAAAAAAAAAAGATTAAAAGAACAGAAGACTTTAAGATTCCCGGTCAATTATTTTTTCGTTTTTTTTGTTGCTTTAAAAAACAGATTTGTTTTTGGTAAGCAGAATGAAATCAAAACCTGAAATCATCATCGTTTACACCTAACGCTTGTAATAATTTTTTTTATCAGCAGATTATATCAACCTCCAAAACAGAAATAAAGGGGTAGAAAAATACAGATTTTGACGAGAACCATATCAAAACAGGAAAATCGTCGTGTGTCAATGCGTTTTCTTTTTTTACTCTCTATAAATGATCTATTTGTAAAATAGCTTTTTTGAACCGTATTGAGTTTCTCTTTTGTAATACAAACTAAATTACAATTTTTGTTGCAATAAGGGCAGACGTCCTCAACTGGTAACCGAACTGCTCAACTGACAGATGTGGTTTTTTTCTTTCACCTTTCCTTGGCTTCTTCAGTTGACGAAAGCCAAATATCAAAAAGGTTGCAAATTACCGAGCCATTGAATTGGAATGGGACAAAGATTGATCAAAAAAGGAAAAGACTTGTCTTAAGCTTGACGTATCCAGCCTTTAATTGACATATAACGATGCTTGGATGGATATGGTCAGTAAAAGCTGAGCATTGATATAGCGTTATCTTTATTGACTGCTTAATGTTGCCGTTTTAGCAAAAAGTTGTTATGTTGTTTAGACTAAAACCTAAGTTTATTGGTTGTCATTCGGCTTTTCAGAATAAACTGTAATTTGCAGGAATAGTTTACAGTTTTACAGCTGTTATTTATATTTGTTGCTTTCTTATTCAAAAATATTTTTTGCCGGTTTTAACTGCTTCTAATTATCTGTTTAGTTTATCGATAGCATTTGATTGAGACACTGTTAAACTGGGTAAATATTGTTTTTTTGTCGTCGTTGTTGTTGTTGTTTTGCTGTTAACAGCAAATAGAAGACGAATTATTAATATATTTTAA